GTTCTCTTCCTCCATCATGAACCACGATCTTTCTTGCTCTGCCTGCCATGATCCGTATGCTCCTGACCCACTGTCTTGACCACTCGTCTGATGTAGACCCTCCTCCTCTAGTTTCATCTGTCCTGTTATCTTGCGTCTCTGATTTGTGGGTACAGATGGTACCCCAGCACCAGCACGTTCATCCTGCCTTCTGGCTCACCCTTCTCTTCCCTTCTTGCCTGCCCCCGCGAGTATCCCCTGGCCTCAGCTTTCCGCGCTTGCTGAACAGAAGTGTTCCTGAGCTATGCTCACTCTGTGAACAAGATTGTCAACTGCTATCTGACTCGCATGGTGTTCCTTGTTCGTGTCCAGGTGTGTTGAAGGAGAGGGAGAGGCGAGGGAAGATGAAGCAAGTAAGAGTTCCAGTGCTCGTTTACGCTAGGAGGGCGGAACAAGGTATCCGCATGGTATCAAGGAGGGTCAACCTCAGAGCCAAGAAGGGCCACCTCCTCTGCCGCGTCATCTGCGCTGGCATCAACCCGTGCGACGCCAAGTTTCAGATAGGCGACAAGGTCCCGCACTGGGCGCGGGACGTGGCGAGGATGGCGATGGAGGGACGAGCCGTCGGCTTCGACTTCTCCGGGGTCGTAGTAGACGCTCCTCCTGGCTGCCCTGGCTTCAGCATCGGGGACTCTGTCTTCGGGACGCTGCCGTCGGGCGCGGGGACTTTGACCCACTACGTGCAGGCGCCCATGGACCAGATTGCGAAGAAGCCGACGAGCTTGTCGTTTGCTGAGGCAGGTGCGCTGCCGATTGTCGGGCTGACGGCGATGCAGGCACTGGTGTTTGACAACCACCTGTCAAAGTCACAGAGGCTGCTGGTGATAGGGGGGAGTGGGGGCGTCGGACATGTTGCCATCCAAATCGCCAGGGCGATCGGCGCGCAAGTGACCAGCGTCTGCGGGCCGAGGAACTCAAAGTTTGTCGAGGCTCTGGGAGCTGAGAACATCATCGACTACACGAAAGGGAGCGATTTCATCCTGTCCGAGCTCAAGAGGCTCACGAGCCTAGAGGGGCCCTTTGACCTCTGTCTCGACACCGTCTCGAGCAACGAGGAGCAGGACGCGGTATACCAGTACAGGAGGCTGATTATGGCCAACAATGACGGCCGTCGCCTTGTTCGTGGCAAGTACATCACGATCGGAGGAAGCACGTCAGAGTGGGCTCGAGCCCTGGTGAAGAAGCTGGTTGGGATGAACCTGTTCGGGCAGCAGGAGCTGTTCTGGGTCTCTTTTCCCGGCAGCCGGAGAGCTCTAGAGCAGCTGAAGGCATTGACTGAGGCCCAGCAGCTGCGTCCCACCGTGAGTGAGATCTTTCCCTTCGAGGAGGAGGCAGTGCAAACAGCGTTCGAGAGGCTGCACAGCAGGAGGACGGTGGGGAAGCTTGTTGTTCAAGTGTCTCCCAACGACTGGTCGATGGAGATGGAGCAGGTGGAGGAGGAGAGGGAGGAGACATCGGGAGGAGCTGTAGGAGGTGATGACGTAGCAGGAGCCAAAGAGTCTCTGATGCCCTGAACACACGGCGATGACGAAGGAGCAACATGAAAAAATGTGAATTCTTGTAAATATCCTAGTGACCTTGAGTCGTTCGGCTGATTTACTGAAGCGACTCAAGTTTTGCTGAGGCAGATGCTTTCAATGACTTGTACATGAAAGCTCGAAACTGAGATTCAGCAAAACAGGCATGATTGTCCCCAAGAATCTCCCTCCTCCTCCTCGTCCTCGTCCTCGTCCTCGTCCTCGTCCTCGTCCTCGTCCTCGTCCTCCTCATCCATGTCCTTGTCCTCGACCTTATCGTTCCCTTAATGAACGGCAAGCCACCAGTGTATGATCTGGGTCTTGCCCATACACAGATAACAGTGAAAGCTTGAGGTTGCGAATGAGCTTCAGGTTGAGCCTCAACCGGGCTGTCAGCCTCGAGCATGGGGCCTACATCCGCCTCGTCGCATCCTCGGTGGGGGCTGGGAAGAGCAGCTTCTGCTGCTGTCGAGGCTTGCTTGGGCTAGAGCGTGTGGGTCTGCCTCCAGGCCATGCAGCCAGGAGTACTCGTCGCTGCCCGCATCAGGGTCATCCTTCATGCCTCGACAGCAGCAGAGGCTGCTCTCCCCAGCCCCCACCGACGATGCGCCGAGTCGTTGAAAGGTTCTACACCTAACCCGCCGCTGGATCTGCCTGGCATGTGTGAGAGCATGTAGGCGCCATGCTGGGTCGGGGGCAGGCGCTGGACGAGCTCACAGGTGCTAGCCGAGGCGCATGGGCAGGTGGAGGGAGGGCTGCTGAGGGCACAGACGTCGAGAGCAGCATCGCAGGCAGGCATGAAAGAAGGAGAGGAAGAAGGCGTCGGCGTCGGCGTCGTGGAAGGCGGAAGGCAGGAATGGTCACTGAGTGGTAAAAGTCACCGGGGTAGTAAAGTCACAGCACCTGTCAGCAAGGCGTCGCTCCAGTGCCGTTGGGCACATGGATGAGAAGTAGCTTAGTTAGTCCTCTGCGTTCCTCTCAGAGCATCAGGCTTCACCATGTCATGACTTGTACTATACAAGAGGCCGTTACCCCTACGTTCTCCCTTCCCTCCCCTTCCTTCTTCCTAGCTCACATACCCTCGGCTCCTCCCTGACACCATCCTCCTGACCTGCTCCTGCCGTCTCTTGAGGCTCCATCCGTTGACAAACATACCGCTGAGCCTGCAGGTGGCTCCAGCAGCTGTCACGAGGCTGCCGTCACTACCTCCCTCCTCTCCTCTCGTCACAAGCTTCCCTCCCTCTTTCCCCTCTCCCATCCCTCCCACTCCCTCTCCCCTCCCTGCCTTCTTCCACTCCCTTTGCTTCCTGCTCCTGTGACGCCTCCTGGGTGTCGTCTCGCCGCCGCCGCCCTCCTCCTCCCCTGCCTCCCGCGGCTGCTCGAGATGTCGATGCGTCAGCATGGCCTTGGATGGCTGGCCCTGACGCCTCCGCCTCGCTGGGGGAGGAGACGAGCTTGATGAAGTGCTTCTGGGCGTGCGACCTGACCTGCTGGACCGACCTCGTCCCGATGAAGCTCGCCATGCTCCTCGCCGCCCCCGCCCCTAGCCCCACGGGGATCCTGCCCTGCGTCACCAAGCTCCGCTCCTTGGGCCCGAACATCTCCAGCGCGATCCGGAAGCGCGCCTCCTCCTCCTCGGTCCAGGGGTGACGCCTGAAGGCGGGCTGCTTTGTCTTGGGCCTGCCTGCTGACCCCGACCCACCCCCGCCCTCCTCCTTCCCCGCGCTCGCGTCGCTCTCGACGCCCTCGCCAGGCGGTTCCCCGTGCCAGTGCTCGAGGAGGGGATGGGCGTGTAGGGCCTGGCTGTCTTGGAGGAAGGGGTCGGCGAAGGCTGGCTGGCTGGCCGCCATGCGAGCGACAGCCTCGTCCACCGACTCGTCGTGTGCTGCCGGGTCGATGGCTGGGGGAGTCTGATGGTGGAGCAGGCGGTCCCCCATGCTGTTCTTGTCGCTCGGGGAAAGACAGGGGATGAAATAGAGGGGGGCGGGTAGTAAAGAGGTGTGGTAAAAGGAGAAATAGACTCTTGAATCTCAAGGTGCCGTCAGCAAGAAGGGATTGCTGACATATCAAGGCTTCCCCATCTTCAAGTCACAGGCCTGCTGACGTCTCTTTACCACTCTTCTTGCGTCTTGCGGGGGCGAACGAGGAAAGACGGCGGCAAGCTGGGGCTGAGCTTGAGCATGAGCATGAGCTTGAGCTTGAGCTTGAGCTTGAGTTCGCGTCAGCTATCCGCCCCCAAGCATGGCGCCTACATGCTCTCACACATGCTGCGGCTTGTCTTGCGTAGAATCCTTCAACGACTCGGCGCATCGTCGGTGGGGGCTGGGGAGAGCAGCCTCTGCTGCTGTCGAGGCTTGCTTTGGCTAGAGCGTGTGGGTCTGCCTCCAGGCCATGCAGCCAGGAGTACTCGTCGCTGCCCGCATCAGGGTCGACAGGCTCAGAGGCTGACGGCGCGTTCCCCCTCCATATCGTCGACAGTCGAGCTTGAGCTTCAGGACCTGGGGGTGCAGCTTGAGCGTGAGAGCTCGAGTCCTTAGCCAAGCCTGGCCAGCCTCGAGTGCTGCTGCAGGTCTAGCCTCATCCTCAAGCTTCGGCTCCATCATCAGCATCATCACCAGCCCCTCCATCACCTTGAAGCGCAAGCCCCTGAGCATCGGTCAGGCCTCATCGAGGAGACGATCCTGGCAGGCAGTAAAGCGGGTGGTCAGCAACAGCAATGCTGACAGCTGGTCATTGGTGCTGACGGCACTTCAGATATCACTTCCTTTTACCACACCTCTTTACTACCCCGCCCCCCGGTAGGTACCCTCCGTCTCCATCTGAGCGACAAGATCAGCATGCAAGACTGCTTCCTCCACCATCAGACTCCCCCAGCCATCGACCCGGCAGCACACGACGAGTCGGTGGACGAGGCTGTCGCCCGCCTGGCGGCCAGCCAGCCAGCCTTCGCCGACCCCTTCCTCCAAGACAGCCAGGCCCTACACGCCCATCCCCTCCTCGAGCACTGGCAGTGGGACCCGCCTGGCGAGGACGTCAAGAGCGACGCGAGCGCGGGGAAGGAGGAGGGCGGGGGAGGGTCGGGGTCAGCAGGCAGGCCCAAGACAAAGCAGCCCGCCTTCAGGCGTCACCCCTGGACCGAGGAGGAGGAGGCGCGCTTCCGGATCGCGCTGGAGATGTTCGGGCCCAAGGAGCGGAGCTTGGTGACGCAGGGCAGGATCCCCGTGGGGCTAGGGGCGGGGGCGGCGAGGAGCATGGCGAGCTTCATCGGGACGAGGTCGGTCCAGCAGGTCAGGTCGCACGCCCAGAAGCACTTCATCAAGCTCGTCTCCTCCCCCGGCGAGGCGGAGGCGTCAGGGCCAGCCATCCAAGGCCGTGGGTGCGCATCGACATCCCGAGCAGCCGCGGGAGGCAGGGGAGGAGGAGGGCGGCGGCAGCACTTCATCA